CATTTCAGTTTTTTAACAATTCATATTTGTGAGAAGTGGTAAGATGTGAACCTGGGAATTCATTAATTTCAGACTTGAGCGATTTGGCATAATAAATATGGGTTTTCCCGTTAATAGTTACTGGTGTGATTGGTGGGAATTTACAGATTTGAGTGCCCTTTCGAGAGTAAATTGAGAGGTGCGGGTGTGTTTGACATACAGATAATCTCGAAATTGAACAGGGGAAATTTAAGGACTGGTTTTCATGTTTTCAGACATGGGCTAACCTAGGGGTCCGGGGCAACTGCCCCCAACTTTTGAAATTTTTTTTTTAAATATAAAAACGTGTTTAGTATCGGTTAAAATCTAAATTTTAATTTAAATTAAATTTAATAATTAATTTTAATAACATATTTCATGGAATTCATAACTGTTTAACTTTTATTAAAATTTACAAAAAAAATTGATTTTAATGTCCACCAAATAGGGACAAAATCACAGTAAATTTGAATTTCGATAACATGCTAATTTTAAAAAATTTTCGACGATCGTACGCTAATCGAATTTACAAATTACTTATGTCATCTCAAAAGTTATTTCGAGAATTATATTATGGGTATATTGAATAGTCCAAACATATATAAAAAATAGTTAAAAATACGTTAAACGTGAATCTTAAAAAAAGACGTCAAACTCGGATTTTAAAAAAAAATTTAATTATTTCATTAAAATTTATTATTTTTGCAATACAAATTTCCCAATGTAATTTTCATCTTTTATTAAGAAATTTTATATGGAATATGACATAAAAAATTTTCGAAATTTTACATCCGAAAAAATCATATCTCATTTAAATTTTCGGATGTAAAATTACATGGGGTATGATTTTTGGACGTAAATTTTCGATTGTAAAATTTTTTCAAACTTCTTTGCGAGTTCGATTGTACCTCCTTAACTTTTAAGGTTTGCGTCCGCCTGTTTTCAGATTCAACAAATACGTGACAAACTTGCTATAGTTGAGAAAACATCAAAATCTTAAGCCACGTAAAAGTAAATCAGTGAACTAGTTCCATTTTATTGTGGCAATTAAAAGGATGATTGCTGTATTTATTTGCTTTGTTTAGCCATTGCATAAAGCTGCCACAGTTTCTCACCAAGATGGCCATAATGAAAACTGTAGAAACAGAAAACAGGCATGGAAAATTCAGCGGGGGCTTACGAGACCTCCTTCATGCTGGTATATTGATGCCAATAGATACAAATCTTTCCTGATGTTGTTTATTATTATTATTATTATTTTTTTTTTAATACCCGTATCCCAGTTTAGCCAAACTAAATCATGGACCTCAAGCCACCGACCCCTCAGCGACTCGAGGAGGTAAACCGCAGGTTATGTCCTTGTTGGCTCTCAGGTTCCTGCACCGCTTATACTCCTTGCCCCAAAAGAGCTCTCATCACTGCCTTCTAGTCATTACCTTGTCTTCGAAAAAATCCCCCTTCCAAGACTCATGCCTTCCAGGAATCGAACTCTCCGCGCGAGTGTTGGAATAAGGTTCGAGGGAATGAAGATGTAGTTATTTTTCGCCTTGTTGCTATCTTTCATTTTTATAATTCTTTAACCCCTTCCATGAATAGCCCTTGTGTCCGTTTTGTTAATACACTTCTTGTAGACTTGTAGATATGCAGCTCAAACATTGTTTGTAAAAATATGGGTTTAGGTAAAATATTTATTTGTGAAAATTTGGGTTAGATCCTGACACTGGACGTGTCATAGCAAATGTACTGCTTGAGAGGAGTTTCTGAAGGTACAATATTTCATCGACCAATGAAATTAGTAGTCATTACATATTAGTAGTATAGTTTATTTTGAACATTGACTATGTATAAAACATATTCCACTCTTTTTTATGTAGGGCAAACCAAAATTTAGAAAGTAGAGGACCAAACTTTGTATCTTCGGAAATAATTCAGCTAAATGTGATCGTGCAGTAACAAGTAAAGACAATTTATCCTCCATTTATGATATGTAAAAGATCGTACATAAAAAAAAAAAATCATATAATTCATATTATATAAAAGATTCTAACAAATTTATTTTTTTCATCATTTTTCAGCAATGATAATTTCACTTAATTTTCAGTCAATATACAAAATGGTGTATTCTGTACTAGTTACCCTTTTCTGTATTTTACTCATTAATCGAATACACTTTAACTCATGTTCAAAATATTAGTACGACTCCCTTTATCTTCTTAATTACAATAAAAATGTAATATTTTGGATACATATCCCAACAGGAAGATATGCATTTAATCCACACATTAATTGACCTGCAGGAGTCCCAGCTCCTGTCTTTTATTGTTGCTACATTTGAATATGTATTTAATGGTACTCAAGTTTGAATAGCCCGTTTGATAACTTTATGAATCATGCTCATTGTACTCTTTGTGTACATTGACACTCATTTACAAATTCAAAAATGTAGTAGCGAGAAAGTGTATTGTATTTTCAGGCCTCGTTCGAAAGGGATTAAAAATCAATTAAAATTGAAAATATGGTCTTTATTGGGTCTCACTTGTCTAATAAAAGTCAACAATAACGGTTATATTTTCAATTTTAATCTGATTTTAATCACTCCCATACAAGGCCTCAAATTGACAATTGTACTGTAATATGTGACACAATGTCAAACTTGATGTCAAAAATAATGTACTTGTAGCATAATTGTAACTTTATACGTAGCCCTTGTTTGATCCCCATTTTTGAGTAAAATATATTAAGGAATAATGATTTTTTGGAAAATATATGGTTAAAAAGTCATGTAAATTTTTTAAAATACATGTATAATTATTTTATAGGAAAATGTGTAATTATAAATGAATTTTGAAAAAATGCATTCTTGAAAAAATGAGGTTCAAATAAGGGCTGAGAGAGATAGAACTTTTAGTTGTTGGCTTTCTCGTAGATGAAACCTCTAAAATCACAAAAATTCTCATCGAAGCTATTTCACACGGCTAGGTAGTGAAAATTCTAACGACTTCGAGGTTGAATAAATTGTGCTTTTTAGTTGTTATTCTATTACGCATGATTTTTGAAGTTACTGTTTTTATAATTTATATAATTTGCTTACGAAAAACAACTTTCATGGGTTTCATAACTTTTTAATTACATATTTTATAATTTTTTTATCAAAATTTATTGAAAATCTGATTGTAATCTATGTCAAACTGGGGGTTTAACGTTCTATCTTGTACATATCTAATTGTAATGTTTTACGTGTCACTGTTTGTTGTGTTGTGTTAGCAATTTTTAATTTATAATATTTTTTGTGTCACATTTTGTTATGTTAGCAATTTTTATTCTATATTTCAAATTGTTGTAATTACATATTTGATTGAAACATTAATAAGTGGACAATGACAATGGATACTTTACCGAAAAAGGCTGCCTTTCCATGTGAGTTTGCAACTGGCTACCGGTTTATACGGTGACCAAGATTCAAATTTTATCCCTCTGAAATCGGACAAGATGGTTGGCCAGTAATGGCTTCATTTTATGCCCCAAGTGTTAAAATTCAAGACTAGCAACCGAAAATATTTTACCATCGATCCCAAGTTTTGGTTCATGTAGTAAGTTGGTCCCAACCTTCAATATATATTAAGTTGATAGTATATCTTTCAATATATCAGTCTTTAATGATAGAAACATTCAATTCTACGTTCAATGGTCACGCGATCCTCGAGTATGATTTTACGAAACTAAATTTTGCTTCACATCTACACGAGCATGTTAATAAATTTGAAGCCACCACTAATCCTTAACTTTTGTTTCGATAGTAAATTAGGTCATGTTTGGGAGAGATTTAGATTTTTATACAGTAAATCAATTCTCATTTTCAACCATACATTCTTCAATAAAACATTTCCCATCATATCACTATTCAAAATCAATTCTTCCCCAGAAAATCCCTCCCAAACAAGCTCTTAGTCTTCAAATTTTCATTATAGTTGCACAATCAATATACTTGAAATAAGATAGAACCAACTCCAATTTTTTGAAACTAAAATTTTCTCCACTACTTGGATCCATGCTCAAAAACTTGAAATGACACGTGTTTTCATAAGGATTGCATGACAATTTTGAAACTAAAATTGGGGACAGCAATAGGATAGACCATCGATTTCCACTCTTGCTAGTCGAAGATTTTCAGGAGTCATGACAAGAGCGGGACAAGGATTAAAAAATCCCAATTTATAACCCTTTTTAGTTATTTAATTATTTTTAATGTATTATTATTTCTATTTTTTAGATACAATTTATATTGGAAAACATAAAATAGTATACAATAAAATTAAGGATCTGTTTGATAGGCAAATGTGGAAATGAATTTCAATTCCATGTGTTGAAAAATAAAAATCCAAACCCATATGAATTTGTTCTTCATGAAAACAAAGATAATACATCTTAAAGTGGTTGTGCCTTGAAATTCGATTTCCACTTCCACGTTACAATCAAACGGCCAAAGTGAAATTCAAATTTTCTCGAATGTGACATTTTTCATAGAATTCGTTGCAATCAAACAAGACCTAATAAATTTTTCGAGAAATTTGGATGAGTTCGAAAAATTCGAAATGGGACAATGCAAAGAAGGTCGAGATGGAAAATTTTATCATCTCTAATTATATAATCGGATATTTGAAACCAATTGCTCATTTTAGAGGTGAAGGACAAGTTTGATTGTAAGGCAATAAGTTGAGGACTAGATAGTGCAATTTTCCCTTATCAACCCCTCCGTCACCACCAGTGACTCATTCAAATAATTCACTTTGTAGACTGCACTGCCACCCCCAACCGCACTCTTCTCTCCCTTTTGAACCAAGAACAGAGAGACCTTCCACTTTACCCCTACCCCACTCACCCACCCACGAATCCTCTATGCAGTCTCCGTTTTGAACTTAAGAACAAAGAGTCTTTCCACTTTATCCAGCAAAAAACCAAGGAACTTTTTTCTCAATTTGACAATGGTATATCCCTCATTCTTCATCTTCTTCACATTGCTTCTTACACATTTACAACCCACAATCTCTGAACCCAAAATCCCCGAAACTTCTTTATCACTTCTCATGACCATTAAAGCCTCGTTAGACCCACATAACCTCATTCTCTCGTCGTGGTCTCCCAATGCCACTGATCCATGTAATGGCTCTTTTGAAGGCATTGCCTGCAGTGAGAATGGTCAAGTTCTCAACATTTCCTTACAAGGCAAAGGCCTTTCTGGTAAAATCCCACCTGAGATTGGTCAACTCAAGAGCTTGTCTGGGTTGTACTTGCACTTTAATCAGCTCCGTGGGGTTGTGCCTAAAGAAATAGCTAACTTGACTGAGCTCACTGACTTGTATCTTAATGTGAATAATCTTTCCGGTGATATACCTCCTCAGATTGGTGATATGTCTGCTCTAAAAGGTCAGGTTTTGCACTTTTTTTAAAAGAAAGAAAACATAGAAAGTAGCAGTTTATGTAAAATTTTGGTAATTTATAGCTTTCTGGCCAAGACTTTTATGTAAAATTTTGTTTTGGATACATATTTGTTTCTCACTGAGGAAATAATTATGGGAAACTTTAATTTTTTATTTCAAACTTTGATCAATACGGAAATATTTATCTACTGATAAATATAATTTTTTGAGCTTAGCCATTTAGTTCTGGCTTCTTTGTTTTTGAAAAAAAAAAAGAAGCCATCTTGATGACTTGATCCCTCATCTTGATTATGTTTTTGTGAAATTTCAATCTTGGCTACTAGATCTTTGCTTCACGTGCACATTGAACAAAAAATTTAGGGGTGATGCTACACGGTGTCTATAACGGTGTCCACTCCCTCACGTGGTTTCGTTATTTCCTCTAAAAAAACATTCGTTCTCTTTTCATTGCAAAACCGTGGTGTCAAGACGCAGCAGAAAGCTGAATGGGAAGACAATAAAACTCTTTGTCCTTTCTCTCTCTAAAAAAAACTTTTGAGTGGTTTCTTGGCTCTTATTCATCTGGTTCAAATTACTGAACCAAGTAGTGATCAAAGTTAGTGCAAGATAGAGGACCACAATTTTTGTGACTTCTCTTCATTAGTATATTGTTAAACTTCAAGGAGCTTACTTCCAGGTATAGAAGCAAACGTTTAAGACAAAGCTGATTCGTGTTTAACTAGGAACCAGAGTGATCTTACTCTTGTTGAAAACAAAAATTTGCTTTATATACAAATGTGCCCATTAGCTTATGGATAAGATGGTTCAATATGACATAAAATGAGTTCCCGAGTTCAAGTCTCACTGCCATTCATTTACAAAAATTGAACACATATTCAGCCTTTGGTGAAAAAAATAAATCAATCTGTGTGTCAGGCAGAAGAAAAATCTTAAATAGTTAAATTTGACCTTCTTGAAGAATTTAAGCCTTTGTTTTGGAAGAATGTGTAAACGGTTTAATTTATAAATAGATAGAAATGCTTGGTGGATAATACTTGTGGATCCAGTGGAATGTTGACAATGAATTTGACCAATTATAGATGATTTATAAATTTTGTCAAAAAGAGGCTAAACTTTTAGACAAATAATCAGCCTGTTTTTATTAATGGTCCTCTAACATGCTTTTAGCTAGGAAGTATTATATTCCAAGAAGTTCTGTAGTTCGTGCTAACTTAACCAAAAATTTGAATTTTTTCTTGCAGTCCTACAGCTCTGTTACAACAAGTTTACTGGAGGCGTACCCCCTCAGCTTGGCTCTCTTAAGGAACTAAATGTTCTTGCCCTTCAATCCAATCAGCTGACCGGTGCAATTCCTGCAAGGTTGGGGAATTTACTGATGTTAACAAGGTTGGACTTAAGCTTTAATCACCTATTTGGTTTGATCCCAGTAAAAGTGGCAGGTCTACCAATGCTAAAAGTCCTAGATATCCGAAATAACACTCTCTCTGGAAATGTCCCTTTAGGTAACTCAACTTTTGTTAATATGAACTCTGTATCTTTTTTATCTCCCGTCACATGCTTGATTTAATAATATACTCAATGAAATTTTAACTAATAATGTTGATTCTTTTCTTGTATTGTTGCAATGAAGCTTTGAAGAGGCTCAATGAAGGGTTTCAGTATGCGAATAACCCTGGCTTATGTGGAATAAGTTTTTCTTCGTTGAAATTATGCACTACTTCTGGTCCAAATTCAAATATACCAGAACCATTTGCATCTGGCACTAATCGTCTTCCTTCAAAAGATTTGCCAGAGTCTGCAAACGTCCAACAAAATGGACATCAGTCCACAAAGCCAAGTTCTGCTGCTGTCGTCGGAGTCATTGGCCTGCTTGTTGCCATGGCAGTGGCAGGACTTTTCACTTTCTCCTGGTATCGTCGCCGCAAACAAAAAATTGGAAGTGCCTTTGATTCTGGTGATTGTCGACCGAGTACTGATCAGGCTCGGGAGGTTTGCAGGAGAAGCGCCTCTCCTCTTATCAGTCTTGAATATTCCAATGGTTGGGAACCTTTAGCTAAGGGTCAAAGTGGAATCAGTTTCTCCCAGGAGTTCTTCGAAAGCTTTATGTACAATTTGGATGAAGTTGAATCTGCAACACAGTACTTCTCGGAGATGAATTTGTTGGGAAAGAGTAGTTTCTCGGCTATTTACAAAGGGATATTACGGGATGGATCTGTTGTTGCTATTAAGTGCATATCTAAAACTAGTTGCAAGTCTGATGAAACGGAATTCTCTAAGGGATTGAAATTATTAACCGTGTTGAAACATGAAAACATTTTAAGGTTGAGGGGCTTTTGTTGTTCAAAGAGTCGCGGAGAGTGCTTCCTTATTTATGACTTTGTACCAAATGGGAACTTGTTGCAATACCTTGACATGAAGGACAGAAATGGGAAGATCCTTGAATGGTCTACTAGAACATCAATAATCAAAGGCATCGCCAAAGGTCAGTTTATGTTGTGCTCTTGATACTCTTGTGCATTCCAAATCAACACTTCAACAGCACGTGGACTGGAATAAACTTGACAATATTAATGAAGAATAAGTTAAAATCTTTTCCTTTATACTGCCAAATTCTGTCTGCTTATCGAACATGAGCATTACATGAAACTACTAATGGGGTCTGCACTTGAAATTAAAATGGAATTGTGATCTGCTGAGCTTAATGTTTTTCTGCTGGATCTGTGTACCCCACTAGGAAATATTATTAGGTACTATGCAGGAAATGTTAAAAAAGGTGTGTCGGTGTAAGTATCATTAGCATATTCGTAAAGCAGTATTTCCACCTTAATGGTCTAACAGCATCCTACTTAAAAAAAGGCCTAAAGATAATAGATTGGATTATGTAGAGCCTAATCGTATTGTTCTTTATTGGGCGATGCCTTTTTTTTTTTCAAGTCAAGAGAGGCTTCAGATCCTTTTACTCTTCATTATAGCAATAAACCTGCAGCCACAATTCAACGTAGTTTTGAATCACTATAATTGTGTTTGTGAGCTTTGCGTGTTTCTAGTTTCGTTTTTAGTTACTATTGCTTTTCTACTTGGGATTAGGGCTTAATTTCTAACAAATTAATCTGTGCCTGACTGTTTTATGTTGCTGAAATCTGATTGCATTGTTAAAAGGTATTGAATACTTGCATGGAAACAAGGGCCACAAACCTGCTCTGGTTCACCGAAACATCTCGGCGGAAAAGGTGCTCATTGACCATCATTACAACCCACTCCTCTCTGATTCTGGTCTCCACAAATTATTCGCGGATGACATTGTCTTCTCAGTACTCAAGGGCAGTGCTGCAATGGGATACCTTGCTCCTGAATATACAACCACTGGCCGGTTCACTGACAAGAGCGACATGTATGCATTCGGTATGATTATATTTCAAATCCTTTCAGGGAAATGTAGAGTTACACAGTCAAACCGGCATGGGGCTGAAATATCCAGATTCGAAGACTTTATAGATATTAACCTTGTTGGGAAATTCAAGGAATCAGAGGCTGCTAAATTGGGAAAACTTGCTCTTCTTTGCACCCATGAATCGCCTGACCACAGGCCAGCCATTAGAACGGTAATTCAAGAACTCGATGACATCATTTCTGGATAATCGAACTTCTTGTTGTTCCAGTAAGCAAGCAGCTTTTTTCTGTTGGAACTTGAAAGAAGGCAGTATTAAAATAAGTAGCTCAGGCAGATTGTCTTCGTCTATTAATTTTCTCGAGAGGATTTAGGCGTATGTCTGTACGAGTTATCTCAACTCGCAGCCAATCGAACTCATTGATGTGCTTATGTAGTACTCATTTATATTATGATTAGCAGGTTCCTGAAATCAATGAAAATTAGTTTAATTCATCATCTCTCTATTCATGATTCAAATTGTCTGATGGAAAGGTCTATAACCTTAAGTCATGATCCAACTTACGTCCTTACTTTTTTTCATCGCATTTTTATTCTCAATACATGATACATCCACCACAGCTCTTCGAAAATACATGGAGCAATAATGATGATTATTATAATATCAGTCACTTGCAAAATAATTACAATTCTATTAAGTTAGTACATATTTAACCATTAGTCCAACGTAAAGGAACAAAATCACACGACAGAAGTTTATCGATCAGGTCTCGTCCAGTCTGGAATAATAAACATTATGCTAAAATATCACTTTCTTTGTGTGGAAGTGATCCTGTAAACATGTTCTTCACCAGTGCACTTGTCAACTTCAATAACCCAATGGCTCTTCTTTTTAACTCTCTCATTTTCTGAAATTTTACTAACCATCAAACCCTCTCCAATGGGCAGAAAATGGGGTTTCAAATTCAAATCCCCCCACCATAACTCACTGCAGTGAAGGGTATTGTACCCTACAATAAGGCCTCCTCTTTTGTTCATTCCTTGTTGTGCAGCCACAAGAACTGCTTTATATCCATCCATTTTGCAATCAATAATCACAAAATCTGCAAACTTATAGTCATTTTGTAGTAAAATCCAAGCATCCCCGATAGCAAATTCGACGAAATCTGCATATCGACCCATAGTTTTTCGTGATGCATCCAACTCCTTGAGCCCCCGCAAGATGCACACAGCACGGCCGCCGGTCTGATGTGCAGCGGCCACCAGGGATAGGGTGGCGGATCCGGCAGTGGCAGCACATGCCATGACCATTAGCTGTGCATTGTTGCCTGCCGCAAGGGCTGCTATGAACTCCACTGTGTTGGGCTCCTTCCTTCTCTTGCCCTACAAATGTTGACCAAAACTCTTATAAGAATAAACAAAGATAGCTATTCAATCATCTTGTATAAAAGTTTAAGACGTTAAATAAATGACGAATTTATATACCATTTTAAGGGTTCGGAGAAAAGCTTCAGTGGCATTTTCTGCAGACCAAGAAGCCATTTCTATCTGTTCCTTTCTGTGCTTTGTGGAATTTTCTGTTCAATGATAAGAGAAAGGCTTCAGCTCTATACATACATATATATAAATTGCATGCATGGAGCAACTGAGGGAGGTTTTTTGGTGAAAAGATTCTGCCATGATAGCTGGCATTGTTGAACAATAGCGTTAAAATATTTTATATGTTTGACAATATTAGATCAACTTGTTCTTGTTAGTCTATATATAATAGGTTGGTTAGTCAATTCGACCACTTTTGAGTGGTAACTAATTGATCGACATTGACATGCAAGTTAGGTGACCATTCTTGCTATAAGACTTACATTTCAATAATTGCAGGAGCGAGTAAGTGGTCTTTTTACGTTTAGAGTCTGATTGATATAGATTTTTAGCAAATAAAGTTGATAAAAGTTTGTGGGTCACATGAAATATTTGATTAAAAAGTAGATAAAAATTGTAAATAACATGAAATGTGTGATTAAAAATGAAATTTAACCAGTTTTGTATTTTAGCAAAAAGAGCTTTACCAAACAAGGACTTGTGGACTTCTTTAGTTGGTAGCTACTTTAGGTAAATAATAGATAATATTTGTTGGGCATGGTAACACTTGTTCATTCTCAACCTAATAATCCTTTTCTATAACTACTTACTAGTGGTGAATTGGTTAATAGGTTTTTTTTTTTAACATATTTCTAACATATTATTGAGGTGAATGGGGCTCCACTTTTCTTCCCTAGAAGAGATGTTTAGGCGAGGTCTCGACTAAGTTATCGGGTAATTGATTCATTAATTTAATTGAAGGTTCGCTCGTTAAGTCAATGCGTCGATTGTTGAGATAATTATATCAGAAATTTTAAGGGTTATTATTTGAATTCTTGAAACATTTGTATATGAGTTTTTATGGAGGGAAAGTGGAACTTTTAATTGTTTAGAACACAAATATTATCTTTACAAATATTATCTTTACAAATATTGTAATAATTTGATTAAAAAAATAGTAAATAAATAATTCATTTTGTACTTAATAATCAGACAGTACTTAACTAATTTATTATTTAGGTTGCGTTTGATTGTCAATATTTTTCATGAAAAATGTAATTTTTCCATTCAAATTCTTACTTTTGTGTTGTTTGATTGATAATTTTTTCATAGAAAACATTTTCATACTTTTGGTCACATGACCATATTTTCCTCAAAATCAAGGAAAATATTTTCTTTAGAGGGAGTAGAATTTTATTTTCTAAGGAATTCATCTCTCTTTCTCTCTCTTATCTATCTACTCTCTCTCCCCTATCCATCAATAAAAAATAGACAAGTATAATATTTTTTAAGTTGAAAATTAAATCAATCGAACACATTTAATTAATCAAACGGACGCTTAGTCTATTATTATATGTTGACTTATCCTCAATATTATTATATGTTAACAAATCCCATTAACATATACATTAGCTGTAATGTTTCCATTTAGGCAAACCTAACACAAATTTTAAGATATTATAATTTCCTGGACAATTTATGCAATGCCCAAGTTGATTCAGACACAACCCAACATGTTTGGATCCTACAATAAACTTTGTCTACAAGAAATTAATATTTTCATTGCCTCCATAAAAGATTGTTGAATCTAAGGCCCCGTTTGGTAGAGATTAAAATTCAATTAAAATTGAAAATATAGCCGTTATTGGGTCTCACTCGTCTAATAAAAGTCAACAATAACGGCTAGTTTTTCAATTTTAATCCGATTTTAATAATATGGGGTTTTAAAATATAGTATTACTTGTACTTTTCTAGAATTTACAAAAGATAAATTTAAAATAAATTACATCGTTCCAGTTTGGTAGGACTTTTATTTTCGTTTTTTGAACTCAGTTTTAAAAATATTTTTTTAATCAGATAAAATACTTTCGAAAAATTATATAAATATATTCAACATAACTTGTTAATATCAGAAATTGCTTTTTAACTTTTCGAAAGTCGTTCCAAACGGATTCATTGTTTAATCCACTCTTATCTATGCATGCATCGATTGCAATAGCCACCCCTCATTAATTATATTGCAATAGTCTTGATTGATATGTTTTATTTTTTTATTATTCTATGAATGTAATAATTAATAGAACGAAACAATCAACTTGGTAAATCTACAAAAAGTAATATTTGATAGAACGAAACAATCAACTTGGTAAATCTATAAAAAGTAATATTTGATATGAATAAGAATTTACTTTTTAAGAAAAAATAAAAAATTGAGGAAATATTTACTTGTCATTAATTCTATTTAGTTTTTAATGAAAAAAATTCAGCTTATATAAAAAATGTCTTGTGTTGACCCCTGAAAATGAGACAGCAGATGTCGAGCTCACTCACGCTAAGTCAGGTACGGTTCCGGCGCATTTCTACTGGAATGATGTCGATAGCAATGAAGAAATGGACGCGGGGGCACTTCGAGACGAGAGACGAAAATGTTTGAGTTCTGGCGGGTGAGGCACATGCAATCGTGCTAACAACAATCACCAGACAGAAACCAAACTAATCTATGTAATAACAAACAAGAATATATGGAAGGATAAATGAACTTGTAATATATTTCCCTCAAGAGTTCAAATGTATATTTCAAATATATGATTGTCAATCTTTAGATCCATTATTCCACCCATTTTCCATTACAAAGAGGACTTATTTATACAACGTCGGCAGACGTCGTGTCCGTTGGATTAGAATCACGTGGCCTCATCTTCCAAATTGGGGCATCACATCACTGTCTATTCATACAATTAATACATTGATAAGGGGTCAACCGTCCTATACAATAGGCTGACACGCTGACAACTTTATTACAAGTGTTACATCAATCACTTCAGAGAGATCTTCAAATCTTTTATAAGGAAACGACGTTGGCCTTACGAGCCTAGGACTGGTTGATAGCCTCGGAGAAATCTTTGAGGTGGTTCTCTAAGTGGAAAGCTCAAACTCCTTTCTTTGTTTCCTTAAGCAGTGTCTCATCTCAAGTTGTAGTGCTTCGACCTTGATGCAGTGCCTCGCTTTGGACATTGGCTTTGTTTGATTTCCTCATGTTTTTACATCATGAATCTTTATTTGACTTCCTTGTTGACTTTCTGCTTACGTGGCATACTACGTAGCGCTTACTCTTCGAGCCTCTGAGGGGAGGAGTAATACCTTGAAAGTTGAATATCAAAATTTAAATAAAGAACTTAATTTTTTTATTAATAAAGAGTTTCACACTTATTTTACATGCAGGGTAATTTATGTTCGAGTCGAGAATATTGTATAATCAAAACAACTAACAGAACTTCGTGACAATAAGTTAACTCGAATTTGTTTTGTTATTATAAAATGGTGAAATGGATGTAATATTAATATATAAACTAGGATGATTAGAGAATATTTTAGGAAAGTGAAAAATCATATACCAATTTATTCTAGTAGAGGTTGCAAGAATTAGACAAATAGCATCAGTCAATAAAGGGTTAATTTCACAAATGGTCATTGAAGTTACCTGAAAATTTCAAAACGGTCACTGAAGTTTCAAAGTTTCAGAAACAGTCACTGAAAAAGTTTGAAATTTCTTTCAAAAAAGTCACTGAATTTTCAGATTTTTTTGGTCAAGTTTGAGGCACTTTTTCGGTAAATTCCGACCACCAAACTCCCCGATTTAGGATACCGTTGGAAAGCTCACGATGTCCTCTTCAATTAACACCAAAAATCTCCCCAAAACTCCAAGTGATTCGGCCGGAATAAAGCCACGAAGTCGGCAACCGAAAATTGTGAAAATCTGTCAAGATTTTCAGATTTTTTGGGCAAGTTTGAGGCAATTTTTCGGCAACTTCCGACCACCAAACCTTCGATTTCGGATACCGTTCGAAAGCCACAATGTCCTCTTAAATTACCATCAAAAATCTTTCCAAAACTCCAAGTGATTTGGCCGGAATAAACCCACGAAGTCAGCTACCCAAACTGGGCAGATTTTCGAACTTTTTTGGTAGCTGAATTCGTGGGTTTATTCCGGCTGAATACCTTGGAATTATGGGGAGATTTTTGGTGATAATTGAAGAGGACATTGTGGGCTTTCCAACGGTATCCGAAATCGAAGGTTTTGGTGGTCGGAAGTTGCCGAAATATTGCCTCAAACTTGCCCAAAAAATCTGAAAATTTGGGCAGATTTTCTCAATTTTCGGTTGCCGACTTCGTGGGTTTATTCCGGCAGAATCACTTGGAGTTTTAGGGAGATTTTTTATGGTAATTGAAGAGGACATCGTGGGCTTTCCAACGATATCCGAAATCAACGATTTTGGTGGTCGGAAGTTGTCGAAAAATTGTCTCAAACTTGCACAAAAAATCTGAAAATTCAGTGACCGTTTTGAAAGAAATTTCAAACTTCGGTGACCGTTTCTGAAACTTTGAAACTTCAGTGACCGTTTTGAAATTTTCAAGTAACTTTAGTGACCATTTGTGAAATTAACCCGTCAATAAATTATTCGATACTTGGAATGGGAAACTGACTACATATATGGGGTGGCAATGACCCAGGAAGCCACTCCGCCTGCTTGATGGTCGACTCAGCTTGCTCCACCATGATCAAATGGAATGAGCTGAGTTCACATTTCAGCCGAGCAAGGCCGACTTAGCTGAACTTAACCAGTTTGTCAGAAATAAAGCGAATATCAGTTTACTCTAATATCATCTGTTACAAATTGAATCAGTTATGAATATTAAAAACAAGATAATAGATAATGTGAAAATGATAATCTCGAGAACACGAGATTTACGTGGAAATTCAAACAAGAAAAAACTATGGACAGAGAATAATTCACTATATCAAAAGGAAGGAATTGCAATATGTTATACTAGATCTCACGGAACTCTTTCCCGATCTCCCTATCTGCGAATCTCTCTCTATTAATATAAATCCACATAGATTGCTCTCACAGTCAATCAAATATATATGTGTAATACACAACATATTTATAATACAAGAATCC